AAAAAAAAGCTGTGGCAGGATCTGAGAGAAATCCCCCAAATTGTGCATGGTGGGGAGGGCAGGTAGAAATGTTGTCAGTAGTTGAAGAATTTGGGCAGTGTCAGATAAAAACTGCAGGAGCCCTGCTCAAGGCACAGAAGATTTTTTCATGGAGTAGGTACTGGGCATATGATGCTTTCACTGCTTAAAGGTTACATCAGTTCAAGGAGTGACTAGGTAAGGGCAAGGTCATGAACTAGACTGGGTGTTTCAGAATATACAGAAACCCCATCCGGGTCAGGAAAACCCATAAACTGAGACTGGTAGAAAAAGCAGAGAAAGCATCATATATATGCTTGTCTTATCCTTGCCTTCCTCACGTATGCTGTTACAGCTGCTGTTGAGAATGGACTGGCCAGACCACTGTCTGATCTGGTAGGAGTGTTCTTGGAAATGACCTGTTGACTGGGGCTGAATCTAAGCCTTCTTTCAGTGGAAAAAATATCAGTGGCTCCTGAGACTAGTCTTTGTAGTTTGCCTGCTGTGGCTGTTTCAGACAGACTTGAATTTCATTAGTACAAGTGGTTTTTATGTTTTTCTGCAAGCTATGTCTGTGCTCCTATAGGTATTTTTGCTTGACTGAGCAGAGGTACACAGAAGTACCCCGCTACTTGTCTGCGGAGCATCATGTAAGTAACTTGCAAGGTGCATTTCTTCAAAGTGGGAAGCAGGTCATCATCTTGTGTTTTGATTTTGCTGGTGTCAAATAAAAAATGGCAAGCAGTGATTGATGTGAGTGCACTCAGGATGACACCTCAGGTGTCTGAGGGCTGCTAAGTCTGTGGTGGTGGATGAGGCTAAAGGGTTAATGTGACTGCTATGAAAGATGTTCCTTTCTAGCACAGGTTACTGTGCTGGTGGAGATAAACCCTGAGGACGTTTCCTGGGAAAAGTGAAGCAACAAGAGGCACAGTGTCTGGAATGCTCCTTAGAGATGATTACTTTTACTTTCTTGTAAGGATTGATCTCATGGGCTCTGTTTAGAGGGCAGCTGTTGCTTGAGACTCAGTCCAAACTGGGGAACTTCAATGTGCTATGGGATCCAGGCTGGTCTGATGCTGGATGGGGATACTGACTTTCTCGTACCTTTGAATTATGTACCTCGATAATGCAGCATATAGCACAGGGTGCTGAATGTTGTTCAGTAGTTTAATTGGGAAGCTGTTTAGTGGGAATTCATGGCCTCATTTGAACTCCGTCAGAAGCCCTGGGATGTGAAAAGGAAATTGGTTGCGTGGTCATTTGCCTGGATGCAGTAAGAGGGCAAAATTAGCACTCCTATAGTTTGCAGAGGCTCTAAATAAAAAAAACTCATGCTCTTTTGTCTCTGCCCAAGGACTTAAAAGCTCTAAAGGCTGCCTATTGGGGGACTGGTTTCCATGATCAGGGGTTTTTTTGCCCTGTTTTCATGAAGGATGTGAACTTCTTGCTTTTAGAGGAGTTACTGAGGTTGGGTGAAGTTCTCTGGTACCATTCAGTCCTGTGATAAGGGTCACAGGATTAGCTCAGACTGAAAAGTAGTAAGTTGGTTTTGTTTTGAAGATTCCTTCCTGTCCAGTAGTCATACTAGCTTTGTTTTCATGTCTTGAGCTGGTTGTTTACAGAGTAGGTAGATTTCTTTGCTTCCTCTTCCTGAAGATAATTTTAAATACGGCACCTGTGTCCACAGCAGGTCTTGTTAGATAACGTCTGATGCCTATGATATGAAAGTGCATTTGCCTACTCTCTTTGAACAAGATGCAGGCAAGTCATAAAGCCCCCCTATCCAGTGCTGTTCAGTGCTTTTTTTTTGTTATAAACTGTAGCCTGAAAACATATTAATACATGTTACTTCTTTTTCTCCCTCAGATAAACTACTAGTTTTTACTGTAGCAACTAAAGAAACTGATGGCTTTCACCGTTTCATGCAAACTGCAAAGCACTTCAACTACACAGTAAAGGTATTGTATGTTTTCATACCTAATACTCATACTATACAGCCTTCGAAACAGAAACAGTGCAACAGTAACTGAAGTTGCATTAGCTTCCTTGCCTGCTGGGGCAAAGTAAAATGATTACAGAGCTCGGGGGGCAGGCAGGGCACTTGCATTTGGCCCTGCTGCTGTCCCTGTTGCTTACTTGCTGGTTCCCCTCTGAATGACCACGGGAGGGTGGTACTTCCGCTGCCTTAGGAATTGTTTTACAGATCAGCAGCTGTTGTGGTCAGTGTCCTCAGTCATTTAAAGGTTCTGTCATGATTTATCATATAGCCTTGTTTTTCATTGCAGCTGATCTTGTGTGCATGAATACTTCTGGAAGCTGCACTGTACTCAAAGGGCTTTGTATGTCTCCTCCCTCCTTAAACAAGGCTGGATCCCTGCTGCGGAGAAGGAGGGAGGGTCACAACTGAAAGTTTCACTGTGTTTCAGAGAATTACAGGTTCCTTGGAGAGGACAAAACGTTTCTGTCAGTCTTGCCAGCCTTTTCTGCCTTGTTTCACATCTCCGTATGTCACGTACTGAGGTTGGCCTCCGTGTGACCTTGGGAAAAAGGGAGGGCACTAACCTTCTTCTAAACTTTCCCCACAAATTGGTTCTGCAAGAGAAAATCCAGGAATTCAGATGGTGTTATGAAATTTTTCTGCTCACTTACCAGTGTCTACACTATAAATAGGAACTTACTTGGATCTCTGAAGTTTGGCTTCTGCCACTGAACTTGGAGAACTGAGGGAACCTTTCCTAATATGATAATGCTGTACTAAAGCACCCGAGAAGCCTGAGCTCTGGATACATCTATTAGCTTTGCAGATTTGTCCAAAACATCATGCAATATAGTTCTTACAGGTTTTGTAAGTTCCAAAAGCATTATGTTTAAAACCCAGAGAAAGTTTAAGGGTTTTTTCTTATTTTGAGATTTAATTCACTGTAGTTCTTGGCTAAGGAGGAGTCTTGTTTCGTGGATTTTAGCAACCAGCTGTAAATTGGGAAACTTATCCCTTACTTGTACAAAAGTGTGCTGGAGGGATTTCAGACAGACTGGGGCTTGCAATTTGTATTAGAAATACCCTGATCCAGCAAGGTCTCTTACACTTCCTGTTCCTGAAGTGATTACACTGACTTTTAATGATCTTGTTCAGAATGTTTTTCTAATACAAATTCTGAAATAATTATTAGCTTTCTTATTCCCCCCCCACCCCGAAGGAGACACATTTAAATAAATGGTGGTAGCAGGCAAATGCTCGATTCTTATTTGGTTAAGAAATGTCTCTCTCATGTTTTTGCAGTGATGTCATTGTGCTGAATGCTGCTTCAGACATGGAAAACTTACGGTGCTGGAAATGCTGGCTTGCTATGCTTTACTGTGTTGCTTCTGCTTTAACATCTGTTTTCAATAAGGGTGTGCTTTAAAAAGCCTCTTTTTTTTTTTTTTGGATACTAGCAAAAAGTGCTTTTTTTCTTATTCCAGGTACTTGGAAAAGGTGAAGAGTGGAAAGGTGGTGAGGTGCCTAACTCTATTGGTGGAGGGCAGAAAGTTCGACTGCTGAAAGAAGGCATAGAAAGCTATGCTGATCAGGAAGACTTGGTTGTAATGTTTGTTGAATGGTGAGCAAACATGGCTTGTTGCCTTTACATTTTAAGTGTGGGTAGGCATGCAAAAGTAGCTGCTGTGACATGCTGAAAGTTGCATGCTGCTTTTCCTCCCTCACTGTTTGTTTGAGAGAGTTTGCTTCCATTTTTCTCCATTCATAAAAACAGTAGATTACTCTTGGAGCAATTGTTACTTTTAAAATGGATTTACAGATATAAGAGTTGTTCATAGTTCTGCTGCCTCAAGGGGGTAAAAAAATGTTATTGGGAGCTGACAGGCTTTTAAGCAAGTGTTTATCCTCTCCATGTTCAGCTGCGGTGAGGGCAGGACGTGGTTGTGGGCTGGGAGTGTGGAATGGCAGGGGGGGAACAAAAGCAGCTCCAGAAATGAAGTGGCCAGTAGGGACCAGAGCATGCTCTTGTTCCATGAAGTAACAGTGATATGGAGGAAGATGGAAAATGGGCCCCTGAGGAAAGCACTTAAGAGGAGAACAGCTTTTATGTGTTATAGAACTGAAACAAGAGGCTTGGTGCCTGTGCTGTCCGTGTGATGGAAGGATGGAGAGACAGTGCTCATGGAGGTGCCAGACTATAGCTCATAGCATAGCTGTGCTTGAACATCCTCACTGGAGGCCAGATAGGTTTCTCCGTGTCACAGAGAATAGGGAGCTCAAACATGTTCAAATCCCACTTCTTCCATTGCTTCTCTTTTTTTTTCTCCTCCTTCTCTTCTTTTGCTCCTGTGACAAGAGCATGCTCAAAGCAGCTAAAAATCTAGTTCACACCAGCCACCAAGCTCTTCCACACTAGCGTTAACCAGAGTGGGATCACAGCTCTAGAAGAATCACTGCAAGGAAGGTATGGACCAAGTCTCGAATCAGAGACATGAAGCCCCATTTGCAGACAGGTAGCCTTGGGGAGTTAGCTGAGTGCAAGCTTGGAGAGGTTCGTGCAGGGGTTCATGCTGCTGTTACCAGATCATGTTGGAATGTTTGCTCCAGAATTTTTTTCAGCTTTTAACCTGCTATTAATTAATTAATTTTTAAAAATTTGACAGCTGAAGAATTTTAAGGACCCATTTGCAAGGTAGAGGTTTGGCGGATTTGTACAGCAGATATCGTCACAAGAGAGAAAGTGATCTGACAGTGGTATTTACTGCAAAGTTCATTTGTTGTCTTCCATAAGTTAAGAGTTTAGGAAAGTTGGAGTAGCCTATTAAACTAGTAGCAAATTAAAAGATGCTACTCAGTTGGTTTTTTTTCTTAATTTTACCACTGTTGATAAGTAGAAGATAGAGCTAGAAGGCCAATGTCTAAATCATCATAACCAATTTATGAACAGGCTTCATGTGGGAAGCTTATGCTGAATATTTTTTTTTGTGCGCTTAATTGACAGTAAAAGTAACAGAGTTTGGAGGTACACATTCAATTTTTGATTTTTTTTTTCTTATTGACTTAACTAGTTTTGTAAGTGGAAAAACTATCTTCCTAAAAGTAAATATATTATGTGATTGTTTATAGCATTGTCTTACTGATCATGCAATAACTGAAACTTATAAAGATTAATTTGGGAGGTGATTTTGTTCTTTACTAAATGCTCAGATGAATCAAATGTTTCCCAGACATTTGCTGCTTACATTGGACTTCTTTGTTTTCAAATTATTATCCTGATTCATCACCATTTTCTCCCTGTATGGTAAAATACACAGATTTGTTATCACATTTGGGTATAGCTCAAATTCTTCTCCAACATAACTTATTCTCTCGAGGCAGGCTGTCTGCTGGCCTAGATGAGAGAGTAGAGAACCATGTGTGTCGAAGTGCGGATACCATAATCTTACTTACCGTGAAAAATCGCAGGATTTAAGGCCTCTCAAGTTCTTGATGTCCATAATCCCTAATACCTATTGATTAAAATCAGGTGGAACTGAGTCCAGATAGGATGAAAAAATAGTTTGCTGATTCCAGCATTATATTGTAATTCTAATGAGCTTTTCCTTTACCGGAAGCCTGGTTTGCAATTTAAATGTTGATCAATGTAGCAGTAAGTTTGGAAGAGACAAATATAGTGAACTTCCTTTCTTTTTCAAGTGTTTTTCATTATATTCATTGTGAAGCATTTGGAATATTAATCTTGGGGGCAGGGAAAGGAAATATCTGGTTTACTTACTGCAGCTAGGGAAATAATTTCTAGTGAACTGTGCACCTAACAAACTTTGCTTCTTGCCTTTTTTTTTGAGTAGTTTTTTTTACATGGCTCTCAATTGTGGAAATAGTTTGAACTTCTGTGGACAGCTTGTGTCTAAGTGCAGATAACAAAATGCTTTGCCTGCAGATGCAATGCTATTTAAATTAGGCTTGTTTTTGCAAGACCCTAACTACTGTTTTACTTTGGACCATTTAGGATTGAACTAGCTAATGGCCAATGTAGACTGGATAAAATGGTTGATGCTGTGACTGTTCATACAGAACTCCCCCAGCCTCTGTTTGTGTTGTGGAAGAATTTTGAAACCTCTCTGGTTTTGGTGTGGTTTTTTTTTTTTTAAATAAAAAAACATTTATGAGAATGTAAGGGATAACTACATTTTCTACATATCTCAAAATGGTTGAGGTGTGATCCTGGTGGGGATACAGTGTAAATGAAAAAATGACTGTGTGGCTGAACAGTCCAGTTCAGAGACATAAGACCTGAATTCCTGGTTACCTGTAAGCTCTCTCTCATTTGTATTTTGAGCTCTTATCCTGCAGCCCCAGTAGTAACAAGTCCTTGTTGTTATAAAAGTTGTGGATGCAGAAGTTGTATGTTTAATTCTGGAGAACCTGACCCACCACCAGCATTTCCCTGTGTTGCTGGGAGCGCTGGGTGCATAGCTGGTGTTCTTTGCTGCTGCAAAAGAGAAGGAGGGGTGGGTGGATTCCAGCCCCAAGCATCTGCCGTCTAGGCGCTTCAGGAAGTGGGATTGGAATTGTGGAAACTTGCTGGTTTTTTGCGTGGTTTTTGTGTGCTCCTCCGCCTTGCTTTCTACTTAATCAGAAGGATTTATGAAGAATAAATAAAAGACTATCTGAGCTTTTCCAGCTTTCCAAGGCAGCCTGCTTTTTCCTAGATATAGCCTCTCTTTCTTACGTGTCAAATTTTGAAGCCCTGTTTAAAGTCCTGTGCATCTCCCATAATAACAGTGTAAACTGGAACCTGTTTTGTGATGGTCTTACTAGTGTAGACCTGAGGTGAATCCTCCCTTACAGTCGGAGTTGAATGCTGGATAGAGTGAGCATAATCTGACATAAGCAGGTAAGCAAGACAGTTGGTGGAGTTACAGGTTTTAGTTTGACTCTAGAAGTTTTCCTGTTGCCTAGAGAGAAAAGCAGGAGCCCCATGAACCAGCTGCTGGGAAGACTGCCAGTGAGGGGCAGAAGGCTGGTGGAGGTCCTGCCTGGGGAGGAGGTGTGGTGGCAGAAAGTCACCACTTGGCAAAACAGAGGGCCATCAAAATTAGTGAAAAATGTAGATCCGTGCTGGATTCATACTCCTGCATAATATCCATTAGTGTGTAAAGTTTACAATAATTGGTAATGCAGTTTAGGAGCTCTGTATTGTGCTTCGTATTATAGACTATTCTGTATTAAGTAGCATATCCCTTTCCCAAGCAGAGCCTGTGGCTAGCCCAGCATGTTGCTCAACTTTGGCTTTCTTTTCCAGAATGACAGTCCTTGGAAGCAATGTTCCAGGGGTGTTTGGTTCCTTCCCGCAGCTGTAAGTCATTGCAGCAGCAGCACTAACTTGATCAAAGAGGAGAAGTGCAGCCTGCCATAAGCTATTAAGTTAAAGCCTCAGACAAATCTCTGTTTTTGTCTGTCTTCAACTTGTCTCCTGTTTCTTGCTTGTTCTTCAGGCTCCTTCTGGCTTTGAATCGGGCTACACCAGTTGAATGGAAAAGGGAGGGAAGTGTATTCCTGTGTATCTGGGCAGAAGCAGGCAGTTTTTGCAAAACTGGGGAAGCTCCAAAATGTACAATGTTTTTTTTTATACGTTCCTCTGCCAAAGTTACAGAAAAATGAAACGGTGAGAGTTTTCAGAAATCGCTTACTTTATATAGACTACATAACACACTTCCTCTCCAGGGTTCATACTTTGCTCTGTGGTGGAAATCTACTTCTCTTTTGCATTTGTAAGCCAGCTGTTGTGCAGTTTTCTTAGGCCAATTGCATGAAATCCCCTTTGAAGAAAGGATGCTTTAAATAACTTCAGAACTGTAATAAAGAAGTACTATAAGTCAGTAATGGTTGGTATGTTGGCACTATGGCTGAGCAATACATTGCAGTGCAAAAAGTTCTGTTTACTGCAGGTGGGGGTACTGCTGTCCTTCTTAGTCCAGCTTAAAAGACTTTGCAAGAACAAAAATCTTGGTCGGGGTTAGACCCTTTGGTTTTTGGTAGCTGTACCATTCCTTTGCCCTATATCAGGGCTGGTGATTTTCAGTTAATGAGGTAGATGTGTGGAATAAGAATATACCTGCCTCCAGATGCATAAGCTGCGAGGCTGAGATGCTGCAATTAACTCCACTTCTTCAGCGGGAGATGTGGTTTCAAGCTGTGTAAAATGAACCTTCAAGTGGTTTGCACATCAGTGCTTTTAAGTGTAGATCTCAAGCACAAACAAAGGAACCTTATACTCAGAATACTTTAGTCATTTATACATATTATGAGGTATTGCTTTAAATGTGGTTTAATAGCAAGAAGCTATTAGGCTGGTCATACTACATTCTTACATGAACTTTGCCAATCCTGTGCATGTTTCTTTCTGTTTTGGGGTAGTGTTGACCTTCAGCAGTGAGTAACTGCTGTTTTTAGAGATGAGCCCTCCACCTTTAGATTTTGACCCCCATAGGAGTTGGGAGTCAAATCTGATGAACACATAAAAGCAGGTGAAGTTTTGTATAAATAGGTATTGTGAAGTTTAGAGCCTTCTGAAGTCTTCAGAACATTGAAGAGGTTGAGAGGGAAATCTGTACATTGTCAGGATGCAACACAGTTTAAGTTTATGGACAACTAGATTTTATTGAGATATATCTGAGTACATTCTTGATAAGACTTTTCTAGAAGAAAGTCAATGCTGTTGTGTTTTGGAACAAGATCATCTACAATTTGCCAGTGAGAGTCTCTGAAATCATCTTTCAGTCCTACTCTATTTCATCTGCTAAGTTTTGATATGTTTTTTAAATTTTTTGTTGTTGTTGTTCTTAAACATATACACAGTTTTCTAAGGGGGAAAATGTATTTTTTACTCAAAATATTTGAAATGTGAAAATAGATTTCAGATAGACAAAATCTGAAGGAAAAAAATGTCCAAAATGTGGAAGGTTGAAAAAAAAAAGTAAGTAGAAGGGGGAACTGTTAGAAAAGTAATATTCATTGGAGTTTTCTCCTAGAAAGGTATAGGACTTTTACATGGTGGTAAAACATGATTTAATGAGTAATTTTTCAGAATAAAAGGTCTGTCTGTATGATTTCTAAAATTTGAGTAGTCCATCCACTTGTTTTGGACACAGAAGCATTACGATTAAACTAATCTAATGGATGCCTTTTCTTTATTTTCAGCTATGATGTTATCTTTGCGGGAGGCCCTGAAGAACTGCTAAAGAAATTTGAGGAAACTAGTCATAAAGTGGTGTTTGCAGCAGATGGTCTAATTTGGCCGGATAAAAGGCTAGCTGACAAGTATCCTGTTGTCCGGAGTGGAAAACAATTCCTGAACTCAGGAGGCAAGTGTGATTCTTGAACACATTAAACTCTTGAACTTGTACACAACTCGTTATCTGTTTTATGTATTTGTATGTGGAACTGTCCTTGAATTCCCCAAGTATAAAATCAAGGACTCGATTGCCGTCCTCCTCTTCCCCCTTCCCTCCCCACTTGAATACATTCTCTTCTGTCCTCAAGAATAGTTTTCATTCAAACTTACATAGTGTTTGTTGGCAGTCACTTGTAAAAAGCAGGCAGATAAAGTAACAGCCTAGCAAGCAACTGTGCCTTGCAGTGGGATGCTGTGAAGGGATGACCCAGTCATCTCTGATTGAATCTACATCAGAAACAAGTGTACAAGCCCAGTCAAAGCAGTATGTGCTATTTATAGGCACAGTTTAGCTGGTTCACAGAATTTCCTGACTTGGGCACCTTGTTCTTGGGGATCTCTGCATACAGTGTAGATGTGCTCGTAGCTCTACGACCTGTAAGCGTGGGTTAGGCAGTTCATTCGAAGAGAAGTGCAAATTACTGCTGTTAATCTCAATGACGTGTTCATTCTGGAGTCCTCTAAATGCCCACTTTGGACTAATTTTGCAGTTGGTTAGTGCATGCACTGACACTGATATGTTTTAACCGCAACAGAGCACAGTGAGTCACTTTTCCTAGTTACGTGGTTCTTTAACTCACCTGTCTGCCCTATCTTTTTTGTTTTGCCTTAGAGATAACGTATATTGGTTTTGAGCTGAATTCTCTTTGTAGTTCTGGCAGTGTTAGATTTGGGCTTCTCTGCCAGCAAGTGGTAGATTGATGAAAATTAAACTTTTTCTACAGATGGGCTTCTTGGGAATGGTAGTCATCTAATCTCATGCTTTGGAGTTCTCAGGACCATCCTAAACAGATCTGTTGCCTATTTTTTTCCCTTAAAATAGCATTAGTATAAAAATAACACTTAACTCTGAACTCCTTAAAACAGAACTGGTATATATCACAGGAAGAAAACTGGATTTTGAGCCAAGTTGTATGAATTTCATACTTTTCCTGTGCTGGCACAGAACAGTCAGAATGAAGTCCCTGACTGGTGGACAGCATTGACAGTGTAGTGCTTTTTATGGAAATAACTTATGTGTGTGTAATATTGCAGGATTTATTGGTTATGCTCCGTATATAAATCGTATTGTGCAGCAGTGGAATCTGCAGGATAATGATGATGACCAGCTGTTTTACACCAAAATCTATGTTGACCCGTTGGCAAGGGTAGGTAGTGACTGGCTTTCTCATTTCTTTCTGCTTGAAATAACATCCTGCTCCTCATAAAACATCAGGAGATAGGAATAAAGAGACAACATTCCTTTTATTTTTGAATGCCATGTTGATGGTTGTGTTTGTTCCCCAGAGGCTCTTACTGTCAGAGTGATGAACAGGCTTCCAAAGGGTCATGACTTGATATATCATTTCAGGCTGTCTGCAGATCCAGGCAGGTTGTGTGTCGTTGTTAGAAATAATATCTCTGAGGCATGTGATTGGACACATTCATCTCAATGAGGGTCCCATGTACTTGGCAGTTTGACAGCCAGAGAATGTGGCATTTTTCCAGGGTGTTACAAATTAATTGTTTTATATTTTGGCTTGCTGCCATTTCAGATCCTGCCTGCAGCTGCCTCTGGTTCTTCAGCTCTTCGTGCAGATAACATTCAACAAAGCTGGATCATAAATTTTTGGTGAAGACCTCTCTGTGCCCTAGCTTAACAAAGTTCTCTGCTGAGTAGCAATATTAAAGCGTGCTAGATGTCAGAGGCGTGGCCCTGATTCTGGAAAAAGAGAGCTAAGGAAAGATAACGATGTATTGATGTGAAAAGACTTTCAGAAGCTGATATTGCAGAATTTTCAGGTTGATTTTGAGCATTTGGATACTTAAGGCAGATGTGAAGTTCCTGAAATACATGTGTTTTTCCATTAAGTTATGCCTGAAACATCAGGCATGTTTAGATACAGACACAGAAATAGAATATTTCAGTTGGAAGGGACCTACAATGATCATCTAGTCCAACTGTCTGACCCATGTGTGGCTGACCAGAAGCTAAAGCATGTTATTAAGGGCATTGTCCAAAGTGCTCTTAAACACTTGACAGTCTTGAGGCATCGACTACCTCTCTAGGAAGCCTGTTCTAGGGCTTGACCACCCTCTTGGTGAAGAAATGGTTCCTAATGTCCTGTCTAAACCTCCCCTGGCACAGCTTTGAACCATTCCCATACGTCGTATTGCTGGATAGCAGGGAGAAGAGATCAACATCTCCCTCTCCAATTTGCTGACTCAGGAAGGTGTAGAGAACAATGAGGTCACCCCTCAGCCTCCTTTTCTCCAAACTAGATAAACCCAGATTCCGTAGTTGCTCCTCATAGGACATGCCTTCCAGCCCTTAATGTTTGAGTTCATTTTATGCAAGTTAAGTCAGATGCTAGATATACAATTGAAAGGACAGGGTGTAGAGACATTAAAGCTAACTCTGCACTGAAGTCAGAAGTAATTTAATTTGCTGTCTAAATAGATTGTCTTGTAGACAAAAAAAATGTGTACCTCAGCACAGTGCACTACGGCACTGTGATTCTAAATGCCTCCATGGCACCTAGTTTGGGATACTGTAATATACATTACCGTACAGAGCGTACCATACATTGGACACTGCTAATGTCCAATGCTGTAGAATATATAACAAAATCTTGTAAGACCAAATCAGTGTTTTATCTGTTTAAGGGTTTTGAAGTGTGTTTTAAAGGCTATATACTTTGATCAACATGGTAAAACTTCAAAAAGCTTTAAATAAGGATCTAGGTAGGATTAATAATACAATATTAGGAACATGTTTTAAAAACACTGGTATTCTCTCTTCTGACATGATAATTAAATTTGGCTTTTGTTTTTGAGACTGTGAAATGCAGTATGTTTTGTTGCTTGATCAAGACTTGTTAATTTTTTTTTTTTAAGATAAGACACAAATTTTATTTGGTTTGTATTTCCAAATTGTAGTTTCTTTGGAGAGGTATGACCTTTAACCTTCAAGTTTAGGTAAAGTTTTTGCCTGTATAAAACTGATTACTATACAGCTAGCTGCACAACTCAGGAATATAGAAAAGCTTAACAGTATAAAATTAAGAATTATATCTAGGAGCTGAATAGGTAGAGTAGTTTTGCCTGGTAACTTGCTGCCACTGCAGTATAAATGCAACATTAGCATAAAAACATTGGCTTTTATAATGCCTCAACTTCTTTGGTACTTTTATTTCAGGAACGCATTAACATTACTTTGGACCACAAATGTACAATTTTCCAGACCCTAAATGGAGCTGTTGGTAAGTGCATGATTTGCATGTTATGTTTTGTTAGCTGTTCTTAACACTTTCATTTGTTAACCATGAATATCATTCCCTAAGGATACTGGTTTTAAAGAAATATTTGTATGGGTAAACCTATTACCACATTAGTTACAGGCCTTTTGGGTTTAATATTAATTGATTTGTCCATTTGATAAAATATTCGATTTAAAACAGAAAAAAAATAGTTTTCAGTAAATGAAGTTAGCAATAAACACAAAGTTAAGAACCATTTTTTCCATCTGCCTTTCACCCAATTACAGCAGTGAGAATGGTAATTAAAATTGCATTTTAGATGTTCTTAAGCAAATGGCTGTATGTTATGAAATTGAATGTGGAATGATGTAGAAGTTCCTTTATTCAGCTATCATGAATTTAAATTTAAAAATTATGTCTGTTCAAGCTTCCTTTCTTATCCTCTAACTCCAGTTATGGAGTAACTTTTTATAGTCAGATCATATCTGAAATAACTGTGATTTCTCTACAAGCAGCATTTGCACAAAATTAGTTTTGCTTTTAAACCAGGTTTTATTCAAACACTGAAGGTTGCTGATGGCACATTCTGAAGTTTGATGTAACCTTTTTTAGCATAAAGAGCTTAGAATTCAAGATCTATTTAAAAAAATGAACAAAAGCTTCCAAATAAGTAACATTGACAATGATAGCAACAGCAAAGTATATTGTATCTGCAAGAATTTAAAGAACCCTGATATTTTAACTTTTATTTATAAACTGTTATTACTGTACGATCTTTGATTTGCAGATGAAGTCCTTTTGAAATTTGAAGAAGGAAGAGTAAGAGCAAGGAATTCAGTGTATGACACGTTACCGGTCACCATTCATGGAAATGGTCCAACTAAAGTGAGTGACCAGCTTGTTTTTATTTTTTTGCAAAGACAGCAATTTTTATAGAGGCAAAAACAATGGTGGAAGAGTCTGAAACAGTCCCAGTGCACCACCACTGTTCATTTCCGATTTAATGTTAATAAGAATTGCAAGGATAAAAGTCCGATTCTAATACCTCTTTCCATCATGTTATTCTCCTGTCACTGTAACTTGATATTGCTGCTGAAACAACTCCTTCTGCTCCCAAAATCATTGTAGCATGGGATATCGGAAGTGAGTAAGCTTATGTTAATTTGTTCACTATCACAAAACAGTTCTTGAGGCTACTGAAGAATGTTTATTTGGTTATTAAACGGTAATCAGAAGAATAGGTTTTCAGGGGGAGAAAAATCTAACCAAGAGTCACAGGCTGGGGTACAAAACAGTAACATGTCTGATCCTACCACGGACCTTGGTGTGTGTTTGTATACACATATATAAAAAATATATTGTATATAGGCAAAAAAAATATGTATATGTGTAAGTGTGTGTTTGTGTATGTATATGTACAGGCTGGGCTAGCTTTTGTTGTTGCATCTTCAGTGTCATTGATCACTGACTGCAATGTACCCATGGCTCATGAGCTGTGGGTTCCGGGTAGAGCACTGTCTGCCCTGTGAAATAGCTGTTTTGGCAGATTCTGTCCATGTGTAAGGATTCTGTCGTTGAGCAGACCTGGCACAGCTTCTCTGGAAGAAATGTCTGTGTTTTGGTTGAATGGCAGTTGCATTTTTTTGTTATATGGCAAAGAAGCATAAAGGTTTATAATTTCTGATTGCCTCTGTTGGCTGAAGGATTGGACATGGCTGCTTTCTAAGTTCTTCTGAATATGTGTTCCTTTCTGTAGCTCCTTATTTTCAGACAAATGCCTCCTAGGAGAATGAAATAAAGTTTGAAACTCATTAATAGCCCAGTGACTGCTGCTTCTTAGTTTTTGCACTGTATTTCACCTTTGGTATTAGTAAATGTAATGATACCATTATCTGTTTGGCTTAACTGCTCAGTAGCGGTGAAATACATGACCAATTTTTTCCATGTTGCTACAGTTATTTTTGCCTCAATTAAATCCTCAGGTTATCTGTCATCACTGGCTTTGCTGACACTTTGCCAATGAAAAGAAAGGTACTGTATTTTACAGTTGGGCAAGAAGCTTAGGTTGGAACTTATACTAATCCCCAAGTTACACTACTTTAAACAAAATTCGATCTCTATATGTAGTGACATAGTTTTAAAAATAAAGGGGAAACTCTTGCTGTCTATCACTTTGTCAATGTCATTAAATTCTTCTGTTTTAAACATAGACTAGAATTAAGTGGACAATAGTATAACAGAATTGGAAAAAGTTTTCACTCGTTAGTAAATAAACTAGCACAAAATTAATTCCCAGAATTAACTCCAAATGCTAAAAGATTTTGTTTATAAGAACCTCCTGTTTTGTATTTAATCTCTTCAGTTTGTAGATTAGTAAATAGCATCGATTAGAGACACTTCTTTGAAATGATACCAAATTATTCTGACATGTAATATTTTTCTTCTTTTTTTTCTTAAGTGCAATGGTTTTTTTGTAGAATATTCATTTTTGTAGACTTTATTGTACCTCTCTTGAATTAAGTTCGTTTATAATCTGTCTAGGATGATTTTCAATATGCATAAACAAACATCCAAAATATGATAAAAAGCAGATTGAATATTGGACTGGAGCATGTTTTCTATGCAAAACAATATTCTATCCTTCCAGGTTTTTATGAGGGCAGTAGAGCAGAAATGCATAGCAGCCTTCCCACAGGCAGACTTTCTGTGGCATAAGAGGTCCCTTAGCACAAACTTCCCATGGAATCCAGGAGGACAGCGCAGCCCAGGCAGCCCACTGACAGAAAAAGTAGATATTTTGTTCACTGCCAGTTCAAAATGTGTTAAGAAACTAGATGCTGCTTTAAAATGTATCCCCCTGGATGGCTTCTGAATCTTGGCATAGCTTGTCAAAAATACATTGTCAGGACATCTATCTTCTGCGTTTTCTGTTTTTCATATGGTCACTCTTTGTATTCTGTGTGGAGTGTTGATGATTCTCAGATTTGGGAAAATAATTAAACTGTAATATTTTTTTCTGGCTTGAAATCATGCCTAGCAACTTTTGAGGGCTGAATGATCTATAGTCTGTGTCTTGGAAGTCGTACAAGTATTTAGTTAGTAGTTAATATGCTAGCAATAAATTTTTGGTTTAACCGAAGAAGTAAATGTAGATGCTAGGAGAATATAATCTCTGATTTGTAAATTAAAAGAAGAAAAAGCTTTTACCAGTTATTTTTGTATATTTGTATGTTGGCTTGTTGGTTTGTGGTTTTTTTTAATCTTAGATTAAATAAAAAACAGTCAATTGGTTTTAGGTAGAAGAGATTCAAGGAGTAAGCCTGGATTATATAAAAGGTACAAATCACCATTTCCATTCACTTTTTGTTAATCTGAATTGTTCATTTATTTACCAGATTCACTTGAATTATTTGGGAAACTATATTCCTAATGCTTGGACACAGGAAACTGGTTGCAGTATTTGTGATTTAGACTTACTAGACCTGTCAACAGTAACGGTAAGAATACTTTTCACTAGAAAAAAACCCTTTTGAATGCAGTTGATAGATGTATAGTGACTTCTGAGGCAAAGTGGCTTCAGTATGCATTATTATGTTTTGTAGACACCTCAGGACATTTTTTCTGGTGTATGAAACTGTAAAGATAGCGTTTTAATTTACTGGAAATGTCAATGTTTTAGGAATGTTTTTATGCGTACATTTTAATACAGATTTCTCCAATGTTACTGAAGATGATCCCATCCCCAATAGCCCTCCAGATCCTTACCTCTGTTCGCTGAGGGTGAATGGATTGTTTTTGAATAATGCAAGATTCAAATGAATAATTAGAATTTTTGGGGAGATAGAAAAACTCTTTAGGTATTTCAGATTTTTAACTGCAGACCTACAAAAAACTTGATATACATCAGTTTAACAATCTCTGTTACAAATAGAGGTTAATACTTAATTGTAACATGCTTACAGTTACTATTTTCTGAGAGATAAATAGTCAAAACTGCTTTACCTTGTAAATGATGATACAGATATCTGTATTGTGTGTGCAAATGTGTTTCTGTAGAATAAATATGATATAATTGTGATCTGATATCAGTTCAGTCTTCAGAATTTGTATGGAACAAACATACACATACACATGGCATGTGTGTATATATCCAATTTTTGGGAATTTACTTGGGCTCTTTGGCTCCAAGCATGATGTCTCTAGTGTCTTTATTGATATTTCAGCTTGTACTCAGTAAATTTTAGGCAGAGTAAATACTGAGATCTACCATGTGGAAATGTAAGGCTTGTACTTAAAAGAACATTCCGATTATCCCTAATAGTCTGTTTCCAGCAGGTGTTTAATTTCTGTTCTGTATTAAAGATTTGAATGAGAACAGGTCTTAGAAGGTCATGTTGAGGCTAGCATGAAAGAAGTAGTGAAAGAATTTCTGGACAATAGGCAGCTTATGGACTGGAATATAAATTTTTAAAAATTCTGGAATTGTAATAACTTTCAGATTCTTTTGGTATCTTTTTTTAATTTTAATTTTGCTATGAAGATACAGCATTTGAATGGTGTTCCACTGAAATAGTGTTTGCACTCCTAATGTAAAGTTTACCTGAGGAAAAGAAGTGGTCTAAATTTTTCCTAATGGTGTTGGTAATTAAAACATGGTTGGGGAGCAGTTAAATCTTAAAGCCAGTAATGGGGAGTAACTTGCAATGATTTACTGGATAGTTTCCTATAGCTTATGTACATCTACTTGGAACGTATCTTCTTTGCTGTAATTCATTCTTTGGACTTCATACCTCACTCACTCTGCCAGAAGAAATAATGAGACTTTTTCTTGGCCTCAGTGGAAGTGTTTACTTCAAGGTTTTCTGAGTACAAGCAATATTTCATTCTCTGAACATGCTTTCTGTTCAGGCGTGGCTGGTTTCTAATTGACAAGAAATTTTCAGTGAAAAGAGCAATACCAGCTCTGTGCCTTTAATAATTTTTCCCATATTGTTTTATTTAACTTTCTGCATTGATACACTCATATCTTCTGAGGATTCTTCTTGTTATTGTCATAAGCAACTAGAGAATCAGACTTGTTGGTACCAACTGTGTTCTGGGCTTTTAGTTCCTTCAGATGAATTCTGGCCTGAATGGGTCCTTGACTCGATGAGCTTAGGTGTTGTGGATTCAATGTTTTGGGCTATGCTTACCTACAGACCTTGATTTAGCGGTACAAAACAGATAGATCCTTGTTCTGCAGGGGAGCTTGCTATAATACTGCTTTCTATCACAGGCATAGGGAGATCCTTCTTTCTGTGCAGGTCCAGGGTGGGAGCATGCAAGGCAGAGATGGGTGGAAGCATTACCATGGGTTGTGTAGGTCAGTCTGTGGTGGATGAGCAGAAGAGCCCAAGGTACTACCAGAGTCAGTGTGAGTAGATGCTGAGAGCATGGCCTGTGAAAAACTGAGCTTCAGGATTACCTGTGAAGGAGCTGAAAGCCATGTATGCAGGGTTGCTCAGTCCTTGTCCTTTTCACAGAAGCAGGACCTCCTGTACTCTGATCATGGCTCAGGTGTGGAACCACTTGGTAACTGATTTCTTCTGCTCATGTCAGCAGCCTGTGCCACCCCCATATTGGCCACTTGCCCAGGTCAGAGCAGGGTAATGAAGAATAAGTTGGAAAATGCACTTTGGCTCAGTAAGTGTAAATTTCGGCCACTTTTCTTAAAGGTTTTTTTGCTAAAACCCAAATAAAATTGGACAATGAACTTAATTTCCCTAAAGCTACTTCTTAAATCCTGAAGCTTTTTACTGGTGTGGAGAATTCCCAGTGCAGGTGGAAAGGCTGACCTCGCTCATCTTCTTGCTTTGCTGGTGATGCTGGCAAGGGTTCCTGGACTTTGTTCTGTGTAGTCATACTGAGACGTTTTCTTGTGTTTCTTCCAAAAATTGTCATATGCTCAACTACCGCTTGTGAAAAAAGGAAAGTTTAAAAGGCATCTTAGTGAAAATAAGAAAATCTGCTAGAGAAAATGCAACATTCCGGTGCAGATGGGTATTTCCAAAGTTTTTTTTGCTGAGGCACAGCTGGGAAGAACCAAAACTTCTGACTTCATATACTCAAAATGCTGGTTATTAAAATTGCTCATTGTGACGTGGATTCAGATTATGCAGTGACAACTCTTTATAGTATGGTGAACTAGGGCTCAGACTGATGAACTCTCTGCTTTGAGGAGATGCAGAGATGCAGCACACAACTCTGCTTTGAGGAGATGTAGTTTGCAGGAACTATTAATTTTTGAAACGCTGTTTTGCTTTGGTCATGCTCTTGAGACTTTAGCGTAGATCCAAGTGGACCACACTTTAAAGCTCCTTCAGTACATCAGTAATTCCTGATTGTCCCTATAACCTTTGCAGATCTAGCCTGAACCTGGTTCTCTTTGTCCTGGAGAATAAGGGGAAAATGGCTTAGCATTAGAGAAATATGCAAAATAACTATTGCAGCAGTTCTATTATTCGTAGCACATGTGCATATTCAGCTTAGCAAGCCTGATGGCACATGCTGCTTTCCTCATTGCTCACAATCAGTGGTACCAGCATCAATGGAGAGGTTGCCAGAGAATATCACAGTTCCTTTTTTTCAAGATATGTCAGTGTACTTGTCTTTGTCAGCTGTTTTGAAGTTATTGGGATGTCTGCCTGAGCACATACTAGGTTTGCAGATGAAGTTATGAATAGGAGGTAGATAGGGTAAACTTTTGTGCCTAATGTTTCCTAACTGGTGCACTTGACAGTATGTTTCTGGATTTCCGATGTAGACAGTGACACTGTAAGGTCTCAACATGCACTAATGATTTATCCAGACACTTTAAGTGGGTGTTGGCTTGGTTAAGGAAAGCTAGCTTGCAGCCTTTTATACTCATATAAGGTTTCTCTCTAAGCCTTGTAGTGGGTTAGACGTTTATACTAAGTGTCTGTTTTAGAGGTGGAAAAAATTTTTGTTTAATCAGTGCATTTCTTTGTGTAGGAGTCGAGGCCTTTGAAGGTTAAATTTCTTTGTCTCACGTGCTGTAATAATATATTTTAGAAACACATGAAAGTGCTGTCTAGGTTTGTTTTAGTGGTCATGATCTCTATATCAAGCACGTAGAAACCAGGAATTAATGCCACTGTTCAAACGATGTGAATTCGCATTAAAATAATCCAGTATCCTTGGACGGAAGGGGAGAAGCTCTGGTTAGTTCATCAAAGGTCTTGATAAAATCAGTGAGTAGGGAAGTAATGCAGAGCCCACTTATATTCAGGGGGAAAGCATGCGTGTAAGTGTATGGAAGGGTGTTGCAGTCTTTGGCTTAAAGTAGAGATGAGTAAAATAGTTTGTGGTATTTATTCTTTAACTACTTTTAAAAACTGGTTGTCTTTATGTTTTCTTGTAAATGTAACACACACACACACATATATATATGTATATGTTAATTTCAAAAAATGAATTTGCCATGCAGTTCTAGGTGTATTTCCTCAAATACCTTTTTTGCCATGTTAATTTTTTAAAGTAAGAATTTTAAAAACCATAATAAGTTATTTTTTACTTACAGTTTATTTTATTGTAACTCAAAGAGTGAATTTTTGAGCTAGTTGGTTTTGATTGTTTGAAAGCCGTGTGGCCTGAGTTACTGCAGCATCTCATTAGTTGCTTTTTAATATAACTAATCTTAGAAAGGAGGCAAGTCTTATTGGTTGTGTCAAAATACCTTCTTTCAGGAATATCCAAGAGTGAAAATTGGTGTTTTCATTGAACAACCCACTCCTTTCCTACCTAAATTTTTAGACAGACTGTTGACTCTGGACTACCCAAAGGAGGCACTCAGTATCTTCATTCATAATAATGTAAGTATAATGGTACTGTTGTGCAAATCTTCAATTTTGGAAATTATGGTATGCATGAAAGTGTGCGAGGGAGTGATGGATTCTATATATGTACATAGTTAAACTACATAGGAAGAGATAATGTTTCATAATTTAGTATGCAGAGGTGGAAAAAATACACAAATGAAATTGTGGCAGTGCTTACTGAAATCTATTTAAACAAACTGCTTAGGTTTTTTTCTGTTTTAGTAATGATAAAGATTGCATTTTGAAGTGTATGCTTCTGTGGGAAGTACTGATTGACATAAAAAAATAGAGTAGAGTAAGAAGAGAATAGTTCCAGTTGGAAGGGACCTACAACAGTCATCTAGGCAAACTGCCTGACCACTTCAGGACTGACCAAAAGTTACGGCATGTCATTAATAACTATTATCCAGTAGTTAAAATGCTTTTCATCTTGTTGATACCCTAGTACATTTAAGTTTCTTTTGGTGCTCCTCCTTGGTGCACATGGGAAAGACCAGTGTGTCCAGGTATTTTTTGAATGGCAGTGCAGATAAGTGGCTTTTTAAAAATATTTTTTTTAATGCTTTTTGCTAATTACCTAATGATCTGGTGTTGCTGGTACTTCCCCAGTGACTTCAGTATTGCTACTTTCGTGAATGAGGTGACAGATGTGTGTAAGTCTTTTGGGAAAACACTGAGCTGGAAGAGAAACAGGTGGAAAATAGAATTCTGCCCTTTTTCACTTGGCACGCCTTGCTGTTGATATCATAGCACAAAAAGTCCAAGTAATAGAAGTAGAGCTTATCTTTAAAGTCTTCAGTGTGCTTTCGTAAGGGGATGTTAAAGGTGTAAATGTGATATGCACGTAGGAATTGTAGGCTATGCTAGGTTTCATTGCTTCAGCCAGACGTCATCTACTATTTGAAATGAATATAAAAGACTGATAGCTTTTTTTTATTGAGGGGAGAAAACCCTACTCAGTATTTTAATTATTCTAATGTCAGCTGTAATATGCAAAAGCTACAAAAGAGGGCACTGGGTTGGAACCATTGTATGCAGCTGAGATCTCTTAAATTAGAGGTAGGATAAGTAGAAATTATAGAAACTATCTCTGTGACTGCATTTTAAAAAAAACAATGACAGTGTCTGTTCACCTGCGTACAAGTGGCAGCTCCCTACCTAAAGCCATTCTGGAGTCTCATAAAAAACTCCTGTGTGGCACTGAGGTTGTAGGATGGGTTTTGAAGATTGTAAAATAAATATCCTGAAAAAATATTGCATAAACAGTCTGTAAACCTTGTGTCATTGGTCTGGAGGTACAGCTTTGATTTATATTGCTGATGTGTTGAATTATTTTGCTAAAATTTTGGACAGAAAAGCTTCATTTTAATGACAGATACACTGGAATATCTTCAAATACTGTTTGCCATCTGTTTGTTTAGGATAGAACACAATGTGTTCTTGGACACTGTGTTTATGATTTCACAGCAACTTGTACTTTTCACTATAAACAATGTTAACATTATTACAGGAGGTTTACCATGAAAAGCACATCAAGAAATTCTGGGAAAAAGCCAAGAATATTATCAGAAATATAAAAATCGTTGGACCTGAAGAAAATCTGAGTCAAGCAGAAGCCCGGAACATGGGAATGTAAATTCTGATTTATAAATCTGTTATACTGATGCATGTGCTTACATTTTTTCATCTTTTATATATATTATTATTATTTGCTAACAACCTTATATCTTAAGATATTAAAACAGGAGCCTTTGTGGCAGAACAAGATCTGGATATAAGATATGAATTGAAAAAGCTGTTGGTCATTGTGAAAACATCTTCCTGGTTCGGGCTACCAAGCTGTGTGGTGTGGTGGACAC